TTGTTTATAGTATTTTTTAAAATGTTGATGTCTATTTGTTTTTTTACTAACATAGAAATAGAATTAACATTTTCTTTGTATTCTGTAGTTTTCTTTAATTCACTTATTAGTTTTAGGAAAATTTTTACTAGTTCCTCTGAATTTTCTGTGCAGATTATCATTTTATTTTTGAATAGGATATATTACTCAGTGTTCTCCAAAGAGGCAGAACAAATAAAATATATATATGAGAGGGGCCTTATTAGGCAAGTTGTTTCACACAGTTTTGGAGACTGAGGAGTCTCACACAATAGGCTGGCTGTAAGGTGGAGACCCAGAGAAGCTTGTGGAATGTGTCAGTCTATGTCCAATAGCCTCAGAACAAGGAAAGCGGATGGTGTAATCATCAATCTGAGACCAAAGGCCTAAGAACTCTAGAGCTGCTGGTGCAGATCCGTAAGTCCAAAGGCTAGAAAATCTGTAGTTCTTATGTTCAAGGGCAAGCAAAGAAGTAGTCCAACTTCAGGAGAAAGAATGAATTAATCTTACTTCTGTCTTTTTGTTCTACCTGGGCCTCCAGGTGATTAGATGAAGGCTCCACGCTGAAGGTAGATCTCTCTAGTCAGTCTGCTTACACACAAGCTCTAGAATCACCCTCAATGACACTTGTGGAAATAATGCTATACCAGCTATCCAGGTATCCCTTAATGCCATCAAGTTAACCCTACAATGAACTCTCACATAGCGACAACTTGCATCATCTTTTCCGTGGTGTATGTCTTTCATTACCTTTTCTTGCTTTGTTGCAACTTCTGGAAGTCTCGGTGTCACATATTAACTAAGAGTGGTAAATGTGGACATCATTACTTTGTTCCTATTCAAAGGCTAAAAGTATTCAGACTTTCACCATTAAGAATAATGTTCGTATTACTGTGCTATGCAGATGTGTTAAAGTATTTATGAAGAGGAAATTTCTGAACTAAGCCAAGTAATATAGGGGATACATATTTGTGTAACTTATTTTTTACTTATATTTTCATGGGAGGGGTTGAAGCAGTAAGCCTCATCTGATGGAAAAGAGGAATAATTTGCTATGTATGTTTGAATTGACAGATTTGTAAAATCTTTTTAAAAATAAAGCTAGACTTTATATTGAAAAAAAAAGAATAATGTTCATTGTAGGTGTTTAGTAGATGCTTTTGATGAAGTGAAGAATATTCCCTCTTTGTTTTTCTTAGTTTTGTTTGTTTTTTGTTTGTTTTGTTTGTTTTTGTTTTTGTTTTTTAGATTTTTCCCCATGTGTATGTGTGCTCACTAGAGAGAGAGAGAGAGGGAAAGTGAGAAATCACTCCTTCGGGGAGATGGCCACACCACAATCCTGTCTCTTCTCTCAGGATTTTGGGAACACATGCACTCAAGCCTGGAGTGTTTTTCAAGCCACTGGGCTTGGGAATGGAACTGTGAAGTCAGCCTTGTGGAATCCAGCACTTTAACCACTACCCCACCTGCTGGTGCTAGATTTTTTTAAAATCATGAATGGTTATTGAATTTTGTTAGGTGATTTTTATGATCACATGATTTTTTTTCTTCTTTAGTCTTAATATTTTGGATTACATTGCTTTTTCAAAAGCTGAAACAGATTTCCACTCCCAGAGTAAATTCTGTTTAGTTATGGTAAATAATTCCTTTTATAGGTTCTGCTTAACTCACTTATTTGTTTTAGGAAATTTTTTTATTGGTTCCTCTGAATTTTGAATTCTGAGTTCTGTTTGCTTACATTTTATTAATGAATTTTGAGACTATGCTTAGGAGAAATATTGATCTGTTGAATTCTTTTCTTTCATTCTTTACATTTTACTTTTTTTTTACCAAGGACTTTATGACCCTTACTTAATTTGGAAGGAATTGATTTCAGCATAGATTCTTGGTCTTTCAACCTCTTGGTCTTTCTTTTGCAATATATGTGTTTCTCCTAAAGCTCTGTCTCAAAATATTAAACGGCCTCAGTTGAATAGTTCCCTGGCATAGCACAGGTACTCCATGAATAGTATGATAGCATTTATACTCAGAATTGTGTGATTCCAGGATTTTTTCATGTTTCTTCTGTTATACCTCCCATCCTGCTTCCAGAAATGCAGTCCCTGGAAGAACTTGGTGCTATAAGGATATGGGGGGTTGGAATTAGAATGCTTACATCTCAACCCTGGCTTCCGACTTAAGTAGCTTTTGTTATCTTGCACAATTAATCTCGCTTCTTAAATGAGATAAATGTAAATAGATTGTAAATGTCTTATTACACAAATCACATTCACGGTTTGTTTTCACTGAATTTCTTCTTAATTTTATAAGAAGGGAAAAATACTAATAGTAATGACTGTTATTATCAAAACCTTTCCTTAATATCTTTTCCCTGTTTTTCTTACCATTTTCAAAATTACCATGTGTTAATAAGCAAGGAAAAAGACTGAGCTATTTCAATTTATATTTTGATTTAATTATATGAAATATTGATCTTTGATTTTAGGATTTGAGCAATGTTTCTATTTACAAATGTGGCATTTACCTTCTCCTCTTGTGATTATTTTACTGATGGCCATCTTTAATTATGTAATTAACAATATCAGTTTTCTCATAAATCCCCTCTTTAATGGTAAAGTTTATCTCCTACTAAATATGCAACAATAAAAATGTTTCTGTAGGGTCAGCAGGTGGCATGGTGGTTAAGGCAGTTGAATCCCACCTGGCCAACTGTGGGGTTTGAGTCCTGGGCCTGGAGACTTGAAAGTCACACTGGGCATGTGTGCTTGTCTGCCCGAGACACTGAGAGGAGAACAGAAAAGGGATTTTGGTGTGGTCATCCCCACTAGGGGGTGATTTTTCACTTCCCCTCTCTGTCTGTTTCTCTCCAGTGAGCACACATGTGTTATGGCAAGGATCTCTTTAAAAAATGCTTCTGTAGGGGCCGGCAGGTGGTATGGTGGTTAAGGGTGCTGGACTCCCACATGGCCAAATGCGGTTCAAGTCCCAAACCTAATGGCTTGCTTTCTCTCTCTCTCTCTCTCTCTCTCTCTCTCTCTTTCTCTCACTCTCTCACTCTGACCCTCTCTGGTCAAATTAAAATAAAAAATAAAGTTAAATAATTATTTAAAAAAATGCTTCTGTAAAAGGATGGTTTTACCATTTTTCATTCATCATGGATTATTCTTTGGCATTTTTTTAAAGAACAACTATAAATAAATCACTGAAATAAAATAAATACACAAGAAAGATATATATTTGGGTAGGTCCTCTATAGTCAGTTATTGGAGTACTTATTAAGAAAATTTCATTAGAAAGTTCAACTCCTAAAGTAACATATAATGGTGAGATTTTTAAAAATATACCATGATATGGGACCAGCAGATGGCATAATGGTTTCATCACTGGACTCATGTAGTTGATTGTGGTTTAAGTCCTGGGCCCCGTGACTTCAAACTCTTGCTGGGTTCATGTGCATGCATGCCCAAAATCCTGAGAGGAGAATGAAGAAGGAATTGTGGCAAGGCCATCCTCCGGGGAGTGATTTCTCACTTTCTGTCTCTGATTCTGTCTCTCTCTCTCTCTGGCAAGCACACATGCCCTATAGCAAAAATCTCTCAAAGACAAAACAAATACCATGATATAGCAGTACCTATTTGTAACCAAAGAAAAATGTCAATACACCCAAATATCCATTGCCAAATTATAAATAAAGTGGGAGCTGCAAATTAATAACAAAATATTTCACCAAAATGAAAAGATAGTTTGATAAGAAAGAGACATTTTTATAAACTGGCATATTCTCCGGTGATTTACAGGATGGAAACTTCTGGCCTCTGGTCTTTTTCACCTGTCTGCTTTCAGTTCAGTTCTTTCAGCGTGATAATAATACGGCCTCATCTTTAATTCCTTCAGAGAGGAAAATGTTATACTATTTTTAGGAACTGCATTTCTGGTCTCTCATTTAGATCCAGGGCATAAATTCTTCTTTTGTCATAATTCTTCCTCCCAACCTCCAGGCTACAAACAATCTAATATTAAAGATAAATAAACTTTTAAAATAGTACATCACTTTCTAGTTTTTTTTCCCCCCCTCCTCTTTGAATATGTCTAAGTCAGATAATGTAACTATAGCAAAAACATTGAAAGCAATCAGATAAAAATGCAATTTATGAACCAGCCAGTAGAGTGGTGGTTGGAATGCTGGATTCCCACATAGCTGACTGTGGTTTGAGTCCCGGACCCTGTGGCTTGAAAATTAGGCTGGGTACATATGCATGCATGCACCAAATCCCAAGAAGAGAATGAAGGAGAAGGGATTGCAGTGTGTCCATATAGCCAGAAGGCCGATTTCTCATTTTCCCTCTCACTGTCTCTCTCTCTCGCTCTTCCCTCTTGTGAGCTCACATTCCTGATGGCAAACACCTTAAAAAAAAGTAATTTACTTCTACATCCTGTTTCTGTTTTTTTTGTTGTTGTTGTTTTGTTTTTTTTCCCCAGATCTTGGTTAAAAGTGAATAAGGTTTTAGGACCAGCAGTTAGCATAACGCCTATGTCGCTGAACTCCCATGTAGTCAACCGTGGTTCGAGTCCCAGACCCGGTGGCTTAAACTCACGCTGGGTGCGTGTGCAGGCATGCCCAAGATCCCAAGAGGAGAATGAAGGAGAAGGGATTGAGTCTTGGCCATCCCCTCTGGGGGATGATCTCTCACTTTCTATCTCTCTGTCTGGCTCTGTCTTTCTGGCAAGCGCACGTGCCCTATAGCAAAAACCTCTCCAAAAAAAAAAAATAATAAAGTAAATAAGGTATATACCCATATACATGTACTCACATTAGTAAATAGAACACACATTGAATGTTTTGTTCCTTGATTTGTTTCTTGTCCTAATTTCAGTGAATCTATTGTTTTTGTTTTAAATATGTATATGTATTTGTATCCAGTAAATTAACACCTTTCCTTTCCTGTTTTTAAATGAAGCCTTATAATTCCTATTTGTTTTAGCTGGAGTCACAGCAGAAGCCATGCAGACTATCACCACTGCCCCAGACGCCTCGGGGCCAGAAGCCAAAGTCCAGGAGGAAGAGCATGACCTTGTCGATGATGACATCACTGCTGGTAAGCATGAATATCTTCAACATAATCTGGATGGAGATTTGTTCAATACTACGGGATGTTTTTAGGTCATTTATGGTGAGACTAAGTATTTTGATGGAAAAGATGGAAACTCGTATTGATGGTATATGTAGTTTTATGAGACTCTTCATTGTTCTTTTTGATCTTGAATGAAATGGAGCTGTTTATTTGGTTCAGGTTTGTTCATTGCCACTGTAACAATGACCTGCTCTTGATTTTTCTGGAAACCTTTTAATTCAGAAGCTGGGATCATTACTAGAGCCTTGAGACATGTAGAAGAATACATACGCCCGTTAGGTTATGAAAGTTCTTCAATTTTATGGCAAACTAAAGAATAATGAAGTTGTATTATTGAATAGCAATGCATATATAAATGTAGACTACCTAAGGAAGCTTACAGACACTGTACCTAAATTATAGGAACAAGTGCTGCTTTTTAAAGTTATTTTCATGTTTGGATATTAAACATTCTTGTCTGGGTTATCTATCACCTAACCAGGCATATAGTACATTTTTAGAAACCTACACATGATAGGTGGTCTTTTCACAGAGTTAAGCCAGTTTCAATGATTGGATCTCTAGGTGCATTCAGATCAATTTCTTTGAATGCGCAGAGGATTAAGAACAACCTGATATATTGGTACTAAGAATGATAAACTTTGTGTTTGATGCAGATACTTAAAATTTTAAATATGGCTATAAAGTCTGTAATTATTATCAAGCAACAAATATTTACTTAACAATAATGGATTATTTAAAAAGAAACATAGTCAGAAAACACTAGAATGTTTTCAACAAAAAGGTAGGTCTCTATAAGCCAAATGATGTAAAGTGATTGAATGTTTAAAAAAAATTAAGAATAACAAAAAAATCAAATCAAGGCTATATATGCACACACACACACAAAATTAAAGGTAGGTTTTGTCTGTTTATTTGTTTGAAAGCTCTATGTGACAGGTTGTTTAATGTTACCACCTAAATCCCTTTAACTTGGTTCCACTGGGAAGAAGTTGAGGGGTCCTAATATTCTCCCTTGAAAATTTACGAAGTCTGTATTTAAAAACCTACAGCCTGGGTTAGCAGGTGGCATGATGAATAAGGTACTAGATTCCCACATTGATGACTGCAGTTCGAGTCCCAGACCTGGCAGCTTGTTTTCTCACTTTCCTTCTCTCTCTTTGTCTCTCTCTGGTGAGTGTGCGTGTCCTATAACAAAACAACAACAAAAGATATAGCTTTGTGCTACTGTTGCAAATCGGTGTTGCCTAAGTAGGGAAGCATCTGGTTTTCAATAAAGATGATGGTGATGTTTACTTGTTTCTTTTAATTTTTCTTAATGTGAAAGTTCATTGATGAAAAATATAACTGAATTAAATATAAATGATTTCAGAAACTTCCAAATGACTTCTGAAATCATCTAATGCTTTGCAATTACAGAATTTATTTCAGTAGCTACTAAAGGAAATCTGTTTCACTTGCAGATCTTTTATAACTAAGTTTTGTTTTTCAGTTCTTGTTTATTTCAGTTTTTCATGGGTTTTTACCTTGTTTCAGATTTATTTTGTTGCATTTTAATTCCCTTATGATGTAAAATTTAAAGACCTTCTAATCTATGTTTAATTCACAATAAGAAGTGTTTGCCTTTTTCATAGTAGAATAACTCAGTAGTCTAGAATAAAAGCTGAATTTTTGAGCAGTCAGGTAAGCATTATTAAATCAGTAAATTGAAATTTTGAATTATATACTGCCAAAATCATGAGATAGCATTAAAGCTAGCATAAAACTGTGTTTTTATTTTATTGTTAAAATCAAAAAGCTTAAAAATGCAAATCTGGTTTAGAGAGTCAATTAATGCGCTTGCACTGTATTTTAATCTGTAAGAAGTTTGGTTAAACGAATGTGAGAATAGCTTTTATTGGTTGATTTATTCATTTTATGCCACGAGTACTAGAGGCAAGAATGTTCAATATCTAGAGAATTTAAATAACTAAAAAAAAAAGCCTTTCTTAACATGTTGTCAAAGCAACTAGCATGCTGCAGTCTGTAGATCGTTCAGGTTACCTTTAGATTGTGTGACTTGATTAAGCTGTGGTATAGATTTTTGTGAGGGTTTAGAAGAAAATCATATTTCTTTTTATTGACTAGAATCCTATATAAATTGCGTTATGAAAAATATGGTAGATGCATTGAGAGAAACCTGTTTCAAGCACAATAATCTCATTTTGGGGTAACCAGCTTTGTAGAATACCAGTACTGCAAAAGGAAAAGCTGGCCAGCTTGCAACATTTACTTTGAAAAATATTATTTTTAAAAATTTCTTTAACGAAATTTTTCTAAGACTATCCCTTCATGAAATCATATCATGACAGAGAGTTGCCTGTATTTTGAGTGAATTCTTACTTGGAAACTATAGTTAGGCTAATATGTATCATGTTAATTTTATTTTCAGAGTAATCTGGGATGTTTTAGAAACATATTGACCAAGATAACAATTAAAATAAGTATAATTTAGCGCTTCTGTTAATGACAGAATAATCATTTCTGAAACTTTTCTGAGTGAGAATGAATGAGGTATAAATGTTGACTTGTGACCTTGAATCAGAGCCTCGTAGGCTTTAGTAGTATTTGCCTTATAAAAGTAAAGAAGCAAGGATAAAGCATCGTTAAGGGTTGGCCGGAGTCAATGGAAACTAATTACATTTATTTGAAATGAAGAGTCTTAACTGGCAGAGAACAGCTGGAAAAGTTGGGAGGAAAAAAAAAATTGGGTCTTGATTGAGACAATTTATGTGTTCACCTTGTCATTTAGAAAATATGCTGCAGCTTCTTTCTATATTTCTCTTTTTAAAGCTAATGCCTATTGATCAGCTCTATAAAGTAATGCTGATGTGCCTTGGCCAACACACACTCTCGGTTTTATTATACTTTGTATTCTATCTTAAGGCTCCTCAGATTTCCTTTTAACCATGTTTGAAATTGTGTATTATAGCTATATTAGACGTTTTGTTAGATTAATATTGTGTGGTGTACAGAAATATTAAAAACTATTCTACATTTTTTATATTGTGTTGTATAAATGGAAAATGTATTTTTTTCAATGTAGTTGCTTTAGGTTTTTCAATATTCTATAATTAAAAAATATTTTTGACTATTAATAATAGTGTTTTCTTTAAAGTAATGACAGTAGCTTGAAGATTGTTTCTAGATTATGGATCTTTTTAGTCACAAGAATATTATTCTATACCTGTATCTTTCCTTCATTAAGTATAGTTTATTTTTAGTATTATAACTTAAATGTTAGATAGATATAATATATAACCAATATTTATAAAGTGTGTTTTTATTTTCATTATGATGGTGATAATAGGTCATGCTTATATTAACAAATTAAATCTCACCAAAAACCAACATACACAGAAAAAAATTTTAAATGAATCATCTCATTTAAGGTGGACCATTTGTGTAACTTAGTTAATTTTTCTTTATGTGGCTTTCATTGTGGTAAAGGATGGCATTCTCACTGAGAATGAAGCCATGCATCCTTAATCTTCCCCTAACTCTGGCTAAATAGAATTTTGGAAGGGTTTCATTCACAAACCTGCAGGAGTCCATTTATAGAGGTCACTATATATATACATACACACACACACACACACACATACATCTATTTTATTTCTAAAGAAGTTTTTGCTTTAAGGCACATGAGCTGGCCGGGGAGAGAGAGAGAGAGAGAGAGAGAAAGAAAGAGAAACACAGAGAGAATGAGAGGGAAAGCGAGAGATCACCCCCTGGGGGGGATGGCTATGCTGCAGTTCCCGGAATCTTGGACATGCACGCATCTACACCTGACATGAGTTTGAAACCACTAGTCTAGGACTCGAACTGTAGTCGGCCATTTGGGAGTCCAGCAACTTAACAACTATGCCATCTACTGGCCTCCAAGAAGTCACTATTTTCTTCTGAAGGTCATATTTCAGTGTTTTGCCTCTTGTTCAATATAGCAAGGACATAGCCTGATCATATATAATAGAGATAAAGGGTCAAGAGTCACTGCCGTTGTCCAGAGGGGCAGCTTGACATCAGATTAGCAGCACAGGTTTAACTATTTAGAAGAAAAACAACAATGGTCCATGAATCTGAATGTATATATTAACTATACTTGTTTACTTTCTGATGTATTTTTTTGTAAAATTGCAATTAGCTACATTTTAGACCATTTTCTCTGTTACTGATTAATAGGTACACAAGATACATGCATTTCTTCTTAAACATTATTTATTTAATTTAATTTGTTATTACTATTATTTTTAATTTGCTATAGGGCACATGTACTCACCAGAGAGCGAAAGAGAGAAAGCAAGCTGCCAGATCCGGGACTCAGACTGTAGTTAGCCAGGTGGGAGGCCTGCGCCTTACCCACCGTGATTTAGTGTTGACAGAGCCTCTGTGTGCTTGTTTCCCTTCCTGCCCACACAAGTTGCTTTCCACTGATGTATGTTTTAAATCTTGGCAGTTGTGTATTTTACCAATTTGGAGTTTTAGATAGTGGACTATTTCAGCAGCATATATACTAAAGTTTTAAATTTCTGAGAGAACAGCCATTTTTATGATAAATTGATATATTGCTTTTTATAATCATGCCCTTTTTCTGACTCATAGAATTTAAGGGTTGTTCATTTTTAGAGATGGGGCCATTAATACTACTTTATCTAATCCTCTCATTTTATGCTCAAGTTCATATCATTTTTTAAAAAAGAGCTTATATGTTTATACTCAGTGCCTCAAAATATGTTATTTGAACTTTCAAGTAGAATAATAGCATGAATGAACATGAAAAGATCTAGCAATGATTACAAATAATATTATAAGGTAATTGTGAGACTGGGGCAGGAGAATCGCAACACGACGAGGCTTATCAAAAATAACTTCCTTGGGCCAGCAGGTGGCAAGGTGGATCTCACATGGCCAACTCCAGACTCAGC